CATCTTTTAATTTACTCCTCAAATGGCCACAACGACTGGTACTGAGTTGATCTGAAGCCAGGAGCCTCCCCGAGTCTCCTACATGGATGCAGAGTCGTAAGGCCTTGGGCCATCCTCCACTGCCTTGCCAGGCTATATGCAGGGAGCTGGATGGGAAATGGAGTAGTCAGAACACAAACCAACACCCATATGGGATGCCGGCACTTGAAGGTGGGGGGATTAGCCAGTTGAGCCATCAGTCCAGCCTCAGCCCTGGATATACAGATCTTTATTTAAAATGTATATATTTTAAATTTGGGCCCGGCAGCATGGCCTCGTGGCTAAAGTCCTCGCCTTGCATATGCCGAGATCCCATATGGGTGGCAGTTCTAATCGGGGCAGCCCCACTTCCCATCCAGCTCCCTGCTTGTGGTCTGGGAAGGCAGTCAAGGACAGCCCAAAGCCTTGGGGCCCTGTACCTGTGTGGGAGACCTGGAGGAGGTTCCTGGCTCCTGGCTTTGGATCAGCACAGCACCAGCTGTTGCACTCACTTGGGGAGTGGTGAATCATCGGATGGAAGATATTTCTATCTCTCTTCCTCTCTGTATATCTGACTTTGTAATAAAAAATAAATAAATCTTTTATTAAAAAGTATATATTTTAAACTTAAAACATGTATATTATATTTCCCCCCTGGTTAAGATTTCAAGTTATCAAGAGGTTTTTCTTTTTTTTAATTTCAGTAGTTTATGAAACATTATTTCAGTGTTTTCTTATTTGCTTTATTTCAACATGAAACCTGTTGTCATTATCATTGTTTCCCCATGTATGCTTTTTACCTGTGGCTACTTTTCATTTTTTTCTTTTCTTTTTACTTTCTAAAGATTTTTGTTTTCTTGAAAGATAGTTATAGGGAGAAAGGTTTTCCATCTTCTGGTTTACTCCCCCAACAATACTCCAAAATGGCCAGGGCTAGGCCAAGCTGACTCCATGAACCTGGAATTCCATCTGGGTCTCCCATATGGGTGCAGGGGACCAGGGTCTTGAGTCAGCTTCCATTGCTTTCCAGGCACATTAAAAGGGAACCATGTTAGTAATGGAGAAGCTGGGACTCATTGGGGACATGATCCAGTGGATAGGAAATCTTTCTCTCTGTCTCTTTCCTTCCCTCTGTAAATCTGCTTTTCCAATAAAAATAAGCAAATAATTTTTTTAATGGAAACAGAAGAATCTTAAGTTCCTCTGTATCTATTAAAGAAATTGGATTTGTAATCAGATACTTTGATATAACAAAAACTCTAAACCCAGAGAGCTGTGCTGGTGAACCCCCTCCAATATTTCAGGATGGATAAAACCATCATTGTCACACTCAAAACCATCATTGTCACACTCAAACGGCAGAAAGGAACATTTGCTAACCTGTTGTATCAGTGAATGGTCTACAAACCTGACAAAAGTTTTATAACCAGAAGATATCAAAATAATATTTATCGTGAACATGGATGCCAAAGTCCTAAGCAAAATACCAGCAAATCAAATCCAGCTGTATATCTGACGGCTAACTGTAACCAAAGAGGGTTAGTACCAAAATTTGCAACCTGGAGCCCAGCACGGAAGCCTAGTGGCTAAGTCCTCACCTTGCACCTCCAGGATCCTGCATGGGTACCAGTTTGTGACCTGGCTACTTCACTTCCCATCCAGCTCCCTGCTTGTGATCTGGAAAAGCATTTGAGGATGGACCAAACCCTTGGGACCCTATACCACTGTGGGAGACCCAGAAGAAGCTCCTGGCTTCGAATCAGCCCAACTCTGCTGACTGCATCCACTGGGGGAATGAACCAGCAGATGGAAGATCTCTCTGTTTCTTCTCCTCTCTGTAAATCTACCTTTTCATGAAAAAAGAAAAAAGGAAGGAAAGAAGTAAGAAAGGAAGAAAGGTAGGAAGTAAGGAAAGGGAAGGAGAGAGAGAGAGAGAGAAAGAAAGAAAGAAAAAGGAAGAGAAAGGAAGGAAGGAAGAGAAAAAGAAAGAGAAAGAAAGAAAAATTTACAACCTGGCTCAGCACTTCAAAATCAACAGTGTAGTTTGTGTAGTGTAGTGTAGTCAGTCTTTTTTTTAACATTTATTTCTTTTTATTGCAAAGTCAGATATATAGAGAGAAGAAGAGACAGAGAGGAAGATCTTCCATCTGTTGATTCATTCCCCAAGTGGCCACAACGGCAGGAACTAAGCCAATTCGAAGCCAGGAGCCCGGAACCTCTTCTGGGTCTCCCATAAGGTGCAGGGTCCCAAGGCTTTGGGCCGTCCTCAGCTACCTTCCCAGGCCAAAAGCAGGGAGCTGGATGGGAGCGGGGCTGCCCTCATTAGAACTGCCACCCATATGGGATCTTGGCACATGCAAGATGAGGACTTTAGCTGCCAGGCTATGGTGCTGGACACTCTAATCTGTCTTTTTATTCCATGTCACCACGTGCGTGTGTGTGTGCGAATACATCAACATCAGGATCTGAAGGACCTCAGAAAGCTCATGAGAAAATAGAGTAAAAAGAGAATGCAAATTTTCTGTGAACTTTTTGGACCTGTGAGTCCGTGTACTTCAATGGGAATTGAACAGTGTTTTCCACAAGTCATTCTGGAACTCTAGGATATCTGTGTTCCTAAACTCACATATAGAGGAAGAGCTCTGTTATTAGATGTCACTTGAGCAGAGAGCTCTGCTCCACTCCCTGCTTCCCTTAAGGAAAACTGTACAGATTGTTGTTTTAGAAGTGCTTCCCAAATCTGTTGTTTTTAATATCTTCGTGTCAGTTTGTCTTGACAAGGGTGCCAAGATCGTCCTGTGGGGAAGGGCGTTTTCCCTTGGGTGGCGAGATGAGCTTGTAAAAAGAGTCCATCACAGAAGCCTGGGAATTGCCGACCTTGGAATGCAAGCCAGGGGCACTGTGAGAATTGCAAGAAAGGATGCATGATTCATCCTCAGCTGGGATGACCAGGGAAGGCTGCCTGGAGTAGGTGTTGCCGTAAGGACATCAGAAGGCAGAGCACATTTCAGGGCAAAGGGGTAAATGCATTAAGAAAAGCTGCATTTCCTGTTAGTGCATCTCAGTGACACTGCTGGTGGCTGCCCAGCAGGTGACCCAAGGCCTGCAAGAGTCCTGACCAGGTAGAGTGGACATCTCAGCTATGCCTGTTCCTTCATGGTCCCCATGCAAGTTGGGTGACCTTGTCTCTTCCTCTGGGGACGTTCTGGGTCAGGACCAGTTAGGGTTGGAGACTTGGGGGCCCAGTGCTGTAGTCATCCTGCCCGGAAGGGCAAGTGACAGACACCCTACAGCTGGGCAAGACCCACACTGTCCTCGCCCAGTGTATGCTGATGCAGAACCTGCTCCGGGTTGGCTGCCGAGCCCTCTGTCTACAGCTGGAGCCAGCACTCAGCTCCTGGCTTCGGATTGGCTCAACTCTGGCCATTATGGTCACTTGGGGAGTGAATCATCATACAGAAGATCTTCTCTCTGTCTCTCCTCCTCTCTGTATATCTGACTTTCCAATAAAAAAAAGAAATCTTAAAAAAGAAAAAGAAAATGGGAAAGGGAAAAAACTGCAGTTCTTGTTTGTATAGAATTTATTTGCAAATGTATGAATTGAGAAAGATCCCAAGTACAGGTTTACATAGTGCTGTGCTGTGTTGACAGGCCACAGGCACTGAGTGCTTGAGATGAAGTTGTGATATTAAAGAATGCATGAGGTACCCTCTATTACATTTCTACTTGAATTGGAGAAGTGGAAGTCGCTATCCCCCCACCCACCTCCTGAGGGTCCCTGCTGAGTAAGGACTTCCTCTTTGTCCTGTATCAAGTGAGACCCTCTGTGTTCCTGCAGTTCCTTACATTACATTTCTCTCTGTAACTCTCATCTCCCTGACATACAACTCATTGTGGGTCTTCGAGGAGTTCATGGAAAGGTGTTTATGAGAAAACCATGCATGAAGGTCGATTTTGTGAGCCAGGATAAATTCTCTCCCGGTTCCATTTTCCACATTTTGAAGCTTCCTGGAGTTCACTGTTTACCTTCTTCCGCTAGAACATAAACTCTTCTTTCTTTATTTCTGTGTCCTTAGTGCCCAGGGCTGTAACTAGGTGCCCAAGAAGTATTGAAGGGAATGGTGTAGTGGGTGGGCTTCTGGTAGCTGCAACCAATCTTCCCTCAAACAGTGAGGTCCCTCTGGGAAGGTTCCATGCCCTGGCCAAGGTAACACAGCTTGGGCACCCAGATGAGATCCTGGCTTTCCACTCTGCTCTAGCTCCCACCTGTGGGAACCAACACCACACACACACACACACACTCGTCCATCCTGTTCCCTGTGTATTTTTCCAGTTTATACAGAATTTCAGCCCAGAACAGCAGCAGAAGGGAAAAAAAGTTATTCCTCCAGAACAGTGGAAACTCTTGCAGTGGGTCTGTCCCTGGAAAAACAGTAGCAATCTCAGGGTGGGAAAGGAGGAAGTGGGGGAAGGGGTCTTCCGCAATGGGGGTAACGAGATAGGACAGGTTTTTAGTTAAAATAACATCTGGGGGCATTTCCGCAGAACAGTGCTGGAAAAGGGGTGGTCTGACTAAATATTGGGTGGGGTCTTCCTCTGTTCTGGTCTCGGAGGGCTTTAAAGATGGCTAGCAGCCGAAGGTCTCACCCTGCAGAAGCAGCAGGAGATAAACTGGGGCTGAAGAAACTTCTGGAAGCTCCACCTTGCAGCCTGACCTGCAAGTCTGCTGGTGCCAAGCCCATCCTCACACTGGATGTTTCCAGACACTCCCTCTGACCTTGCTCCCTGAATGTTCATAAACCCCTTTTGAGGCAGGAGAGCTCTGACATCCCCTCTCCCATGCCCCATGTGGCATGCTAATCAGGTGTGAAATGAGAAATCCCCGCAAGCACAGGGGCCCTGGAGAGGCGGGAAAGTAGGGAAGAAATGGCCGGGGCTCTGCCAGTCTTCTGAACCTGTTCCCTCCCTGTCTGGCTCCTCAGATGCAGCTTCTGGACAAGTTCCCCATTGAAGGAGGCCAGAAGGACCCCAAGCAAAGGATCATCCCCTTCCTCCCAGGTAAGTTTTGGGTATCCCTCAGTTGAGATCTGCCTGGCCCAAAAGGCTCCAACCACAGCGGCATCCAAGACCATGGTTACAGTCAGTCAATTCTGTTGAAACTTCTCAGAGTTGTCATAGCCAAGCTGCCCCTGCCTACGCGCCTGCCTATGGTGTTTTAACTTGTGTGCTTTGTGTTCCTCAACACACCTCCTTCCAGAGCTGTGAATTGTAATCTCCAAGGGATGAAGATGCTGAGGTTCAGAATGCAAGGCAGAAAGCCAAATCTCCTGACCCACCCTTATCTCTGCCCTGAACTGGGTGGGCAGTGCTGCTCCCGTCTCTCTGGATACCCTCCTGCTCCCAAGCCCATGGGCATGGCTTCCCCAGGGTCATGATAGATGTCCCTGTCCTTGGCAGCCCAGCCCCCAGCACCACAGAAGCAGGTCCTGTCTCATTCATTCCCAGGCACTGCTAGCCCATGGTCAGCACCTCTTTGTGACCTGGGGCACCTGCCTCGGGGAGTGGCTCCGCTCCAAGAGGTTTCTCATGTGCTGTCATGCTCCAGAGCGGCAGGAGATGTGAGCTGGGGATGCTACCTCTGCTCAGAGCCTGACACCACAGTCAGGCAGAACTGGTTTAGCTCTAAGGGAGAACTCTGTAGTTGTGTGGCTGGGAAAAATTGGTGCTATCAGCACAGGTGAAGGAAGTCTCGGCTCCTGCTGCTACACCAGGGGAGCAGACAGAGGGCTGCTGGGGCGCTTCTCCATTCCTGACCTTGGAGTTCATGTGAAGAATGACTTCGATGCCTCACGTGGCCTTGTGTCACCCTCCAGGGGGGGTGGTGGGAATTTGGAAGGTCTCCTACCCAGGTGTGTCAGACCTATAGATATTGCTTCCACATGGTCTGGATGCTCTGGCCACCTGGGCACTGTAGTGTCCCAGAGGCTACAAGAAGCTGCAGGATGCTGCCTCGTTGCAGTCTCACTGCAGCGTCATTGCAGCGGTGGCCCTGGCCTTTGGGCCCTAATGGCTGCCTGCTTTCCCAAGAAGGATGGCGGCTTCTCACTCTTGTCTCTCTCAACCAGTGTGCTGGAAACAAGTATCTCGCTCGCTCTCAGTAGCAGGTGTTTGTGGGGGCCTGAGCCTATGCCAGGCTGAGGGGTCTGGGTGATCAGCTAGCTAAGGGAGATCTGGATTCACGTCCTTAATTTGAGGATTCCTTGAGCTATTGGGAAACAATCCCCCATCACCATCCCAGTGTCCTTGGCCCCCAGCGTTGTCCCCAACTGTAAGCCCAGGAAGCCAGCAAAGGCCTCCTGCAGGCAGCTGGACAGGGTGCAGGAAAGCTGGGGTACTGCACATCTGTCCAGCCCCAGCTGTCAGAGCCAGAGGACCCAACCACAGCCAGAGACTTGGGCTGTGTCAGGTTCTGGTTGTAGTAAGTGCTGCATGCTTTCTCTTCTGCAAAATGCAGATACTGATGGCCTTGACCTCATGTGCTTTTATTAAGGACAGACTGAAGCCATGTATCTCAGGGGCTTAGGACTGTGGCTGCCCTAGGGAGGGCTCAGAACACATGAGCCCTTGTTCTCTTTCCACCACATGTGCATGTGTGTCATCCTCCCAGGAATCCTGCTGCCCCATTTTACTGACCAGCAAGTTGAGGTTAAGGGCACTGTTCTGTTTGCATCAGACCTCGCAGCTCTTCCTCCTGCCTTGTGGGCCAGGACTCTTACATCAGCCAGCCCGGGAGGTGAGGAGCCAGCAACTGCTTGCAAGGCTGTGGCCCAGTCTCAGCTCCAGTCTCCTCTCCCAGGATTGGGGTGAGAACTCAGGACTCACATGAAACCCTTGACATGGTGCCTGTCTCTTAGGAAACACTCAGCAAATAGCAGCTATTAATAAAAACCACCACTTATCCCTGTATCATCTCCACCTGCTGGGAAAAATCAAATGTGGGGACCCCTGGCAGCAGTCCCCCCATGTGCAAGTGGGAGCCATGCAGAGTGGGTGTCTTCCCCACCGGCAGCAGCCTGCTCAAGGGGAACACTCCTTCGGCCTGACTTCGCTTCCTGTCCACCCTGCCTTCTTTCTGTGGGCTTCTCTCTTGGGCTGTCACTCCCTCCTCCAGGACTTTGGAGTGGACACTGTTGGCCATTTGGAATCCCAGGCTGTTTCTGGTGTTCCTCCTGCTCACTGTGGGCTGCCTTGTTTTATTCGGCTTACCCTTCAGCTCGGACAGGAAAGCAAATAGCACAACCAGAATGAGACTAGAGTGAGCTGAGCAGAACCCAGGATCTGCACATTTCTCATCTCACCTTCCAAATTAAAGCAGCTCACCTGGAAGAGAGGGGAATAGAAGAAAGGAGGCAAGGAACATGGCCTGCCCTAGGGCTGAGCCAAGGACAGGTTTGCAGGTGACTTTCAAGGTTTGCTTTCCTGTGACTGTCCCAGGGCAGAGTGAAGTAAAGCAGAGACATTGGTTCAGCTAGGTCTGGCCTTACCCTCATCCCACGGGGGACTCTGTGGCTCTCCAAAGAGACATATCAGTCACCCATTGACTGCCCCAAGGAAGCAAGTTTTGGCCTAGGTGTCCCTGACGACCAAGGGCATGCAGCTGAGGCAGGGGCAGCTGTGAGCCTTCAGAGCAACTGAGGAACCTGGTAGGTGCGCCATGTCACCTGTTGTGTCATCTAATACCAACCATGGCAGACTGTGTTTCTACCTCCCTGCCTTGGCAAGTAGAGTCCGGGAGGGGATGTCTGAGCCCACCTGCTGATTGCCTCAGGCTCATCCCAAGCTGAAGTGATTCAGCAAAACCCCAGAGAACTCCCCAGCCCTGGCCCCACCAGGCTGGGGGAGCAAGTAGCCCTGAGTCAGCTCTGTCAGCCCTTGGCTCCTGCTGAAACTTCAAGGCTAGAAAAGGAAGCAGAGGGCACCTTTTGTTTCTGGGAGCATCTCAGTTGTAGCTCTGCGCGTTGCTGGGACACGGAATATTTACGCTACCTGGAAGGGGGCATTGTTTGCTGCCTCAGAGTGTGTTTGGGCTCTGCTCTGGATCCCTGGCCACAACTTCCAGCTAGTGGAGGTGATAAAGTAGAGAAGTTGAGGAAAGAAACCGTTTCTAGGTTACATGCTGCTCCCTCTCCTGCCCCTCAGGTCATAGCAGAAACTCCCAGAAATAAGCCATATGTCTTGGAATCTAGGACAGTGGTTTTTAATGTATCTCAGAGGAATATGGTCCAAGCTCAGGGTTAGCCTATAGATTGGAGAAGTGCCTGGGGCTCCTGTGGCCAAAGATGGAGGTGCCATCTGTGGAGTGGCTCATTCCAGAAGGTGCCTATTGGCTCCTGGAACACAGCTAGGGTATGGGGGTTATGAGCAAGATCAATAGAGGATTAAAAGAGGAGGCCAGTATACTGACCCCATAGTTTGATGTTGTATGTCAATCAAAGTTTTATGCAGCTTTGTAGGGAAACTGTCCTTCCTCCCCAACAATTGTATTCACCAGGACTAGAACCTGCTTTTCAGTCCCTAAGGGTGAAGATGTGCTATGCCTAGAACCACCAGCCTTTGTTAGGCCTGGGGAGCCCTAGGAAGTGTGAGCCCCAAGTGTCTAGGCTGCTCTCCAGCAAGGCATGCTGGGGGATTGGTGGGGAGGGGAATCATATGGGGTTGAGAGTTACGCAGGGCCTGGGCATCCTGGGCGGCCAGGAGGGGAAGGACTCCCTCCAGGTCTGGGTCTCCAAACCCCATGTGTGCAATAGGGCAGCAAACACATGATCCTGCGGCCTCCTTGATAAGCAGGTCCTTAAACTCCCCGGTTGATGTGTGTGTCAGGAGGCCGGGCACAGAGGGAACACAGTGGGAAGACTTGTTGATTGTCCTGCCTTCTGTCCAGGCACCTTCCACTGAGGTCCCCTCTGGGATGACGTCTCCATGTGCCCTCCCTCCAAGTACCTGCAGCTGCTGACAGGGAAGTCAAATCATCACTCCCTGCGGTCACTCCCTGCAGCCGTGGAGTGGCAGGGCTGTAGTGCTTCCTATCACGGCCGGGAGCTGCCACAGCTACTTCCTCTGCAGTCTGTTTCCCGGCTCTTGCTTCTCAGCCCCTCCCTCCAAGCTCCTTCGCTATCTCTTGATTCAGGAGTGCCCTGCCTGGGGAAAGAAGAGATCTTGACCCCACCAGAACTCAGGAGACCTGGAATGGCTTCCTGGTTCCATTGAATGACTGAGGTCACTGGCACCAAGTAACTAATTTTTTGTGGGCTTTTTTTTTCTTGGCATTTGAACTGTTCAGTTGATTACTTTAATATGATTCAGATAAGATAGTCCCAGAGCTTTCTAAGCAGTGTATTTATTCAGTTATGAATCTTACAAGATCAACTATTTAATTTCCTAAGTCATAACTTTTTTGAACTTTTTATTTGGAAATAATTATAAACTCACAGATGTTGCAAAATTGCTAGGTACTCTCCATTTCTCCCCTCCAATTCCACCATCACATCACTTCCTCTGCGTGGTCACATCTTGATGCAAGTATAGTATGTTATCAAACCACCACACTGACATTGGCATAACTCAACCTGCAAGATTATTTTAAAAATTTTTAAAGATTTATTTATGCAAAAGGCTGTTAGAAGGAGAAAGACAGGAAGGTCTTCTATCTGCTAGCTTGCCCCTTCCCACAAAGAACTGAAAGAGCCAGGCCTTGGCCAGGCCAATGCCAGGAGCCAGGAGCTTCATCCAGGTCTTTCATGTGCATGTTAGGGGCCCAAGCATTTTGGACATCTTCCTCTGCTTTCCAGGCATAGTAACAAGGAGCTGGGGTGGAAGTAGAGCAGCCAGGGCTCAAAGTGCCCGTTTACAATTCTGGTGTCACAGAAGATGGCTTTACTGGTATACCACATGTTCTAGTTATTGATTTTTATTTAATTTTTTAAAATGTATTTATTTACTTGAAAATTAGAGTTATGGAGGCAGGGGAAACAGAGAAAGAGAGATCTTTAATCTACTGG